GTATTGTCTATTTTTGTTGTTTATGTTTAGAAAATGTTATTTTTGTCTGTGATGGACTTGCGACCTGTCCAGGGTGTACCCCGCCCCTTGCACTGTGACTGCTGGATGGGTTATTTTTGTGATGATAAGCCTGAGTGGTCTGTTGACTGACTTTTGTATTTGTTCAAACAATTGTTATGGGCAAGTTACAATATAAAAAAAAGTTTGTCATAATCATGTCTTGTGATTATTTGACAGGAGTTTTACTTTTAAACAAAGTGTATTTAATTTAGTTATGTTAGTTATGATAGTTTAGTTATGATGTAAGTACAATAACAATTAAACCAAGATTTAGAATAATTATCATTTTGATGCATACATTGATAATGTCTGACTGGGCCTCGTGTCACTTTATGTTCAACAAATTTGGCCCTTAGATCAAAAAGTTAAGAACCCTTGGTTTATTACATGAGATGCTGCAAAGAGGAGAACAAGTAACTGACAGATAAACAAACGGAGAGCCGTGCTCAGTTGCAGAAATTGGGATTTGCACAACCAGGCGCTGCGACACGGCTCTGGTTCGGTGCGATTGCGTCACTGTTGGTGCGCACCCTCCTTCAGTGTGTYAAATACAAACCTAGCTTTATTTTTGTAAGCAGCAACCTGCTTTACTCCTCCAGCTCCTCTCCCATGGTAAGAATGAGTCAGAACAGAAGTCTAAACTAATTATTCACATGTCTAAGTTTATTGTGATGAAAAATAATCTGAATTAAAGTCTCATGGTCTTTTTTTACATTGTGTATTGTGCCTAGGACAATATCTGACGATTGGCTCTTTTAAATGAGAGTTGACAGAGAGGAGAAGGTAGAAACGACTCAACCTGTAACTGAAAATATGGATGGAGGACAACAGAGCTGCTTCATGGAAGAAGAACCTCAGCTTAGCCTGTTAGCCTTCATGTTAGCGCTGAGCTAATACTTACATACTGGCTGTGTTCAAAACAGCAGGCCGGGTCCTCCGAAGGCTGAATTCGTTGGCCGCATACGTCACAGCGCCGCGATGAAGGCCGTCCGAACCGAAGACTCCTTTGATGCGGCCGACAAACACGTCCTTCCTTTGGCCCATATTGAAGGACTGTTCCGATGGATCCCTCCCAGCCCACCATATCCCATGATGCATTGCGGCCCGACCGGAGATTTTTTTTATGCTAGTAATGGCGGACGAAGTGAGAGAAAAGAATATGTTTTAAATAAAAATATAGAGGTATAAAAATAAAAAACTTCAAGCGGTTGCAATTTTAATACTTTTATCGTTTGTATAGACGTGTTTTTAAATATTATATTTGTCATAAAAAAACAAACAAACATGCACCTACGGCAGGTCCATTAGTTCTCCAAATATTACCTTTAAGTTAATTTTATTGTTATGTGATATTAATAATACTAATATAATGATATTTTCTAATTTCGATCTAATTTTGCTTCTGTTTAGCGTCATCACGGTTGTTAGGCGACATGATGTACGCCGGGGTGAGGAGGGGAGGCTAGACCGTCCAAATTCACAGACACTTTTTTCCGGTCTTCACGGTTTAACAAGGACCCGGCCCACCTCGACCGGGTAGACTGGGTCCTTCAGAGGACCCGGCCTGCCGTTTTGGACACAGCCAGTGTGATACAGCGTTAGCGCCTCGAACCCTTACTGATCTGACCACCTCCGTCTGTTCAGAGGACACACAGGCAGTAACAGATCTGGAACTGTTGACTTCTGATTAGAATAATGTGACAGAGTGATTACTGACCCCCCAGCTGCAGGTTTCTTTAGTCCAACACCGTAGCTGGACTCATTCAGATTAAAATTCTGATGTGTTTGAGGATTTGAACATCAGTACTGGACACCTTGTATGAAAAAWTAGTTAGATTCCTTGGAATAAATGTGTGATTTAAACCCTATTATGTGTGAACTCCTCCTCTTCTTCCATCAGATCAACCTGGGCCTGCTGATCTTCTCTCTGTGTGGCTACCTGCTGCCAGGTTACCTGTTCTACTATCGCAGGACCCTCCAGAGACGGAGCACGCAGACCAAACAGCACCCTGGTCAGGAGCTGCAGGCCCTCAAAGCCAGCGAGGCCAACGGTCACATGCCTCACAGCAACGGCTACGCTGCACTTGAAGCCTAAAGARCAACAGCCGAAGACCAGAGGAACGGATTTATTTTAGCTCCTTCAAAACAAACACTAGCAGCCCGCTCATCCAGACAGCTTTAGGATTTTTTTTAAATTGTGCTCTTCTTATTGGTCACTGCCAGTGCCCCKTTTGTTTGTTTGTATGTTTGGAGAAAAGATGTGTCGTCCACTGTCGCTGCTGTTTATTTATTGTGATTCAGGTCCAAGAGCCAAAAATCTGTGTCTGTTTTTAAAGCCATAAACCTGAGCAGACACGGGGACAGGATTTCGGAATACTTGAAATAACCGCTGTCGTTTTCAGACACTAAAGATTCACGTTTTCATGTGCCTCTTTAAAACTCTTATTCAAAGCTTTAAAACATCTAAAAGTGGTCTGATTGGAGGACCATACAAACCTCACACACACAAGAAGTGGTGAACTCTTTAGAGAACATCTACCTCTGATTTCCTTTTATTGTCATTGTTCTGCAATAGAATCTTTTAACATCCAGTTAGATTTTAAGGAAACACTAATTTCAATTTGCAGAAAGACCTAGAACGCTTGTTTTGCTGCTCGCTGCGTCMGTTTTAGACCTTTTTTTCAGAAGGGGGCGGAGTCTCAATGTTGAGGATGACTCTTTGCTGCCACCWTGTCGATTTTTAGAACAATTTGAGTAAAACCGACAGATTTGTGGCAACTTTTGGTGTCGAAAGACGACTATCGGTGCCGGCCATCGACTTCCTGTAAGTTTGATTTAAACCCRTCCAGTAGTTCACAAGATATTTAGCTAAATATGAGTTTTTTGTCCTAAAGAGAGCGGATTAATTCAGCTTTAATATTCCAGAAYGTTTTACTTACAGGAAGAATAGACTTTAATAAAATATGGCACCGTGTGAATATTTTCACTTTGTACAGCTTTTTGCGCATTTTCTTTAATTCTAGCAACGAAAAGGGAAAAATGATTTTGTAGGTGGCTCTGTAGAACAACGCTCCAATGATTCTGTTTTATTCTAGCTCTGTATTGTGTTATTTTTAGCAAACCTTTTCTGTAGATAGAAGTAGGGCATGGATTTTCGTACATATTCTGGTTGTATTATATATATATATATAAATGGGTGTACAGTACATGAAATTTAAGCAGAGAAGTTTTTAGGCAATTTTACATCAAAAGTTTGTTTAGCAGGAAAGTAAGGAAAAAAGTAGCAACAAAATGTCATTTGTTGTACATAGAGCTTTAAAATCTTTTTAAAATGTTAATTTTTAACCATTTGCTTCCCTTTTCTTTGAAGTGTTTTTAAATGTAATTGTTTTTCAGTGTTTGCCTCCATGTCTGCCAAACTTTTTGCTTTTGTTTTCTCTGTAAACCAAAGTGGTCTCCTGGGACTGAATAGTTTATTAATCAGAGCAGAGTCTGCCCTCAGGAGAGCAGACAGGAACAAAATTAATTTAATCCTGCAGAACCGACACCAGGTTCAGGTTTTGTACGAGGTAGGAAAAAAATATCAGCATTTCAGTGACGTCTCAAAGAGTTTGAAGGTTTTCGCCTGACATGAGCTGTATTTCATATTTCATTATTTAAACACGTCATAAGTGGTCTGATTGTCTCAATCCTAATTCAGGCATAACTTTAATAATCTAAAGTTTTAATAAGTTTAATTTAGACTTGGAGCTCATCCGTTTCTGTCATTAAAGTGCTCAATTTCTGCTTTCAGTCAACAGGTGTTGCATTTGATAAATAAACGTTAAAACAGAAGCTGTGTGTGTGTGTGTGTGTGTGTACCTGATCACGTGACACCTCAAACAAAGATAATCAAAGTTTTATTTGATTTTGGCTTCGATCAAAAGGTATCAACAAAAAGGAAAGACATACGGCGACGACTCATCCTGTTCCTCTGTAACATCTTCACCTCCAACACACACACACACACACACACACCAGCCATTTGTTCCTCTCATAACACTTAATACATTGGTCTATAAAACACACATCCTCTTACAAAAAGCAAGCACACACAGTGGGTTTCTGTCTATCTGAGGCTGTTGCTGTTGGGCTGTGATCCAGCGAGGCCTGGGTGGTCGGGACTGTGGCGGTTCTGGATCAGGAGAGARAGAAAGGTTAAAGGCAGGTTTATGTTTAATGYAATTATCGTTTTGYTCAAACCTCTGAAATTGTGTTGTGAGATTTCATACGATGACTCAGCTACTACTACAGGTTTTACCACAGTATCCATTAGAGGTCTCAGTACCAGGTACAGTTTGGGTACTCGCCAACGCAGAGAACTTAAACGTTACCCAGTGGCTTAAAACATTTTATTTAGAGCAACGTGGTGCTCCTTATAGACCTACAGCCCCTCTGACTGAGCAAATCAACATTTATCTCTRCAAGTTGCAGCCATTTGTGTGTTTTCTGTGTTGGTCATAATGAATTGGTCAGATGCACGTCTAAAGATCATTTCCTGAAAGGTTCATTAAAACCTGTCCAGTAGTTTATGATATGTTACACTAACATTAACAACAACTTTGCTTTTCTTTTTTTAAAACGTTGAGGTTTTTTTTTACCTTCTTTTTCTTCTTGTCTTTCTTCTTTTTCTTGCGGTCGGGATCGTCGTCCCTCTTTTTCTTCTTTTTCTTGGGATCAGAATCCGATGGGGTTTCTAAAAAAATAAAAAAAAAAGAAGGTAAAAATAAAACAAATAAGTGACTTGGAAACATGTTACTTTTAAAAATCTTTTTGTATTTGTGTTTTTAAGACAGTTTGCCGAACCCTGTGGTAGTGGGTCTTGTGGTCGATGATGCTTGTGTTTGTGTTTGCTCTTCTTCTTCGGAGGCTGGATGTGCATCAGTCTGTACTGTTCTGGAAGCTGAGGAGGAAAAAAAAGACAAAAGAACACGCATTAGGAAAAAAAAACTAAATCTTGTGTGCATATTTAAGTCCATTTGTGAGGAAGTGGGTTAAGTGTTGGACTGGACGTACTGGTCCTGTGTGTAGCCTGAAGCCTGTGAGCAGAGCACCGGTCAGCGGGCTGAACGAGTTCCCGCACACCGGAGGCTTGTCGATCAGAGAGCGTAACGAGCTGCCGTCCTGAGTGCCGGGACAATCGATCATACCTGCAACACCACAGAAGAAAAACAAACTGAATTAAAGATAATGGGTAAAATGTGCTAAAATTAATCTWTGAACTACAACTCAAGTGGGTAAAAATATTTAAGCTTTTTCAGTAGTTTGAACAAACAACTGCCACAGAGGTTTTCAGACATAAAGTTACCTCTGTGTGCTGAACGCCAACAAACGTTCCTGTCAGTGTGAGCACAGCTAGCTGGTATCACTGAACCGCTACATAAATAATTAGGCTTTGCAAACGSTAAACCACTAAATATAAAAAAAGTAAGAGTGGGGGCAAATGCTAACTTATAACAGCTAATTCAAGGTAAGTCATTCAAACAGACATTTGCCTGATTAAAAGGGTTAATAAATGTGTAGTATCCACAGAAATATCARAATCTGAAACCACTGCAGTTAAAASCACAAACAGCTGAATCAGACAGTGCTAAAGATGACACACATGGAGYGTGACGCAGGCGTGCAGCTGCATGTCTGAGCACAGAGTTGTTTTGTTTTTGTTAAGAGAATCATTGATCTGATGGTTTCTGCTGAATTAAAAGCAGTAGTTGACATGATTCCACTAATCAGCCAACAATAGAAATATTCTTTTTTTTCATTTAATGATTAGCTTGAAATCTAAAACTAAAAACTGTACAAGATGATGTGGAGGTTTGAGGTGAGGACTCCAAAATACATCCTGACTACTACAGCTGTTTCCAAGATCAACCTGGAAATTTAACTTGCTCATTGACCTGAATCTTTTAACAGACGTTCAACAACATAAGATAAATACCCACGATATCATGCTGCGTTCACACCGAACGCGATTTCAGCTTCAAAATCCAACGCTTCAAGTTGGTCGCTTGTGCACTTTGAGGTCATACGCAGGTCAGCTCTTGAAGCGCTGCACGGCAACAGCCTCCCCGCCCCTCCCTCCTCTGTCAGGCTCTGTTTAATGTCGGACAAGGAAGTGGCTTTGCTTTATTTACAGAGAGCAAGAGCATGTCACGTTCATCAGATAATTAATTCATAATTAATTCACCAGATAATTCAGAGACATTCTGAGTTTCATCACCCAGGAGCTGCGGGAGAAGCTCACAGCTCGCTTTCAGGACTATTTTTCCAGTCTGATGAGTCGCTGCCACGCATTGGTGAGGATATCTC